TGATGCTGCTTGGCCTGCTGTGTTCATCCAGCTCTACACCGTGTTATTTCAATGCAGAGCTCTTTTTGAAGAAATGGGAAAAGCAAAAAGTGAAAGAGACTGTAGAAAGGTGTAGAGCTGGATGAACACAGCAGGCCAAGCAGCATCAGAGGAGCAGAAAGGATGACGTTTCGGGCTTAGACCCTCTAGGCCTATCTCAGAGATTGTAGAAATACTGTCATGAGATAAATATTATAGATTGACAAATATGTAGAAAGATAAATACAAGCAGTTTATTTACCAGGCGGAAAGCTTCAATTTCATCTTCTGCCTTCTTCCGAGCTGCAACAGTTTCTTCATATTTGACCTTCATTGTCTCCAGCTGACCAGTCATAGCATCCTTTGCAGCAATTGCCACATCCTTGTGTGTCCAAAATAAAATTGTTTTTTCTACCTTGATATCATATTGTTAGTCTTGCAATGATATATTTAGAGAACCATTAAGGCATATAGTATAGTTTTATACAAGTTACCTCAATGTATCTTGAACATGCTTTAGAAAGTGGCTACAAAAGTCTACTATATTTCAATGGATGAAAATAATCTTCTTCCGACTAAGATAACAGAATAAACATGGATGCTGCTTGCTAAGATACACATAATCCTGATTGCAGTACATGTCATCAAGCTGCAAATTTCTAAGGAAATCTATACTTTCACAATTATCAGAGTTTGGGCATTGGTTCATCTGCCTAAACAAGAATTCCTCCTTGTGGAATTTAGACACAGCAGGAGATTCCTAGTGGAACAATGGAAATACTTGAGTCATGTCCTCAAAGCATCCTCGGAAAGGTCAAGCATCCCCATTGACTCATGGGAATCCTTGAATCATAAGTGCTAAAAATGGAGAATGTTCATTCATAAAGACACTGAACACATTGAGAAACTTCATTGGGAATGTGCAGAGATGAATTTTAGATAACAGAGAGTGTGCACAAATCTCCAAACAATTCAACTACTTAACCCATCAAACACCAAATGACCCACATGTCACAGAATCTGCAGATTGCATATTGGACTTATCAGTCATTTCAGAACTCTTCAAAGCAAGTAGGCTCAAATCGTCCATAGGCCAGATCAGGTAAGGATGGCAGATTTCCTTCCCAGAAGGACATTAGTTAACCATATGGTTTTGTCGAACAATTGACACTGGTTTCATGGTCACCATTAGACTATTAATTCCAGATTTTTAATTGAATCCAACTTCCACCATCTGGCATGACAGATTCGAAACCAGGTATTCAGATCATTACCGGGGCCTCTGGATTCATAGTCTAACACTAATACCACTAGGCCATTGCCTGCCCTTTAGAGCAGAAAGGCTAACTGGAGGGGGCGATCTGATTGAGGAGTACAAGATTATGAGGGGCATGGACAGAACAGATAGAAAGCAGCTGTTCTCCTTAGTTGAAGGGTCAATAATGAGGTGGAATAATTTTAAAGTTGAAAGGCAAGAGGTTTAGAGTGAATTTGAGGAACAGAATTTTCACTCAGAGGATGGTGGGAATCTGAAATGCACTGTTTGAGAGAGTAGTTGATTGGGAAACCTCACAATCACTAAGAAGTGCTTGGATGAGCACTTAAAATGGCATAACACTCAATAGTAGGAAAACTGCTGGAGCCGTTTATAAAATACATAATAACAAGACACAAAAAATACCAATGGTATTAGACCAAGACAGAGTGGATTTATGAAATACAAATCATGTTTCACCAACCTACTGGAGTTTTTGACAACATACCAGTAGAATAGTTGATGGATAACCAGTGGTGTATTTGGATTTTCAAAAAGTTGTTGATTATGTCCAACATAAGAGATTATTGTACAAAATCAAAACACATGGGTTTGGAAGTAGTGTACTGGATGGATTGGGAATTGGTTAGCAGACAGAGAACAGATGGTAGGATTAAATGGGTGGCTTTCAGAGTGAAGGTGGTGACAAGTGGGTTACCACAGGGACAGTGCTTGGGTCCCAGGTGTTCACAATGTAATTGATTTGGATGAGTAATCAAATATAATATTTCCAAGTTTTCTGATGACACAAATCAAGGTGCGAATGTGAATGGTATGGAGAATGCAAAGAGACTTCAGGGCAATTTAAAGTGGTTAAATACATGTTAGATATAGTATAATGTGAATAAATGTGAAGTTGCGTCCTTTGATATGAAAAACAGAATGGTAGAGTAATTTTTAACTGGTTATGGATTGGAAAATGTGGATGTACAAAGGGATCATTGTGGTTCAAATGCTGAATTAGATCATGAAATAATAATGTGCTTATTTCAAAGAACCGATTCATGTGTTACCCGTTGGATTTTCATTTGATCAGCTGTTCGGCGTAGATCTCTCAGTTGTTCTTCATACAGAGTCCTCAAGCCTTGTGGATGCAGACAACGACTCTTCATTGCCTCAACTTCAGTCTCCAGAATTCGGTTATCCTGTTCCAAATTCCGCACCTGCCGTGCACACATTGCGAAACAATCAAGAACTAAATCCAGTACATATAAATATTACAAGATGTGAGTTCAACTTTTATATTGATCCTAAAAAATATTCAGTTGTACATTATCTGAAATTTGATATAATAACACAGAAATAAAAATTGAAGCCACGTGAAACACTTCAGATTGGACAACTTTTTAGAGAGAGAAACAGACAAGATTTAAAGTCAATGACATGGTATCAGATGGTCTATCGAAAATAGGTGGGGTAAGTGGATCAAGTGTCAATGAATCAGTGATCATAGCATCATAAAGCCAAGTTAGCAATGGCAAATGATAAGGAGCGATCAAAAGGCAAAATTTTTCATTTTAGGAAGGTCAGTTTCTGTCCCAGGTAAATTGGAATCAAAGATGGGCATGCAGAGGTGTGGTAGAGAAAGCTGTGACAGACTGGACTGCCTCTAAAGTGAGATGGTTCAAGTACAGTCGAGGGTCATTCCCATAAGGGGAAAAGATTAGGGAACCAAGGCTAGAGCTGTTTGGAAGAGAAGAATTATCGAGGGTAATATGAGCTGACCAGAGATCATGTTGATAGCGTAGGTGAGAACCACATAGAATTTTGAAAGTTTTCAGAGAGTTATCCAACAGATGGTGAAGAAGAAGAAAACAGACTAGCAGCTTACAAAATAGGAAATCCAAACATCTTCTACAGGTATGTAAGTAGTAAATAGGAGCATAAGAGGAAGGATGGGACTGATGAGGGACCCTGAAAAGATGATCTACTCATGGAGGCAGAGGGCATACATGAGATTTTGCATCTGTTTTTACAAAGGAACAGGATGCTGCCAAAGTCCTATGAAAGAGGTTCTGTAAAAGAATCTTATCAGACTCAAAATGTTTTCACTGTTTCTCTCTCCACAGATGTTGCCAGACTTGCTGAGTTTTTCCACGATGTTCTATGTTTCCTTCAGATTTCCAGCATCTACTGTACTTTGTTGCATTATAGTATGTTCCCAAGCTCCTCGTGAAATAAATTGAATAGGCAAACTATTTATAAACAGGATGTACTACAAAGATTGGTCATACTTAAAATTGATAAATCAAAAAGTAAGATGGAACTTAGGTTGCCGAGGAACTAAAGATCAGAAATTGCATTGCCACTGATCAGAATCTCCCAAACCTTTTTAGATACAGAGTCCTGCCAAAAGACTTGAGAGTTACAAATGTTGCACCATTGTTCAAAAACTAGGGATAAACTCAACAATGACAGGTCCGTCAGTTTGACTCAGTGGTGAAAAGCATGAATAATTTATAATCCATAGTCTTTAAGATAAATATTAAAGAAACCCCTGATGTGTATTTTAACTTGTTTGGGAGTTTTTTTAATGAGGCAATAGAAGGTGTTGATGAAGAGGCTATTGTTGATGCAGTGCACATAGGCTAAAGCCCATGGAATAAAATGGTTAATAGCAGCATAGGTACAAAGTTGACTAAATAGATGGAAAGACAGAAGTGGTAAATATCATAATGAAAGAGTTTTTACAATGGGGTTGCCCAGGGGTCTGTCCTAGGACCTTTGCTTTTCTAGATTTTGAACTAGGCTTGGGTATACAGTGCATAACTTCAAAATTGCTGATGGTTCCAAACTTGGAAATATTGTGAACTTTGAATAGACAGTAACAGACTTTAAAAGGACCTGAAAGGGTTGGTGATAGGGGCAGACACATGGCACATGAAACTTAATGTAACCAATGTGATGTTTTACATTTTGATAGGTAAAGTAAATTAGTTATAGCTAAAGTAGCTATAGACAACTGGTAGTGGCTTAACCTGAGGGTTACCACATCTCGGGTTAGGGGAGAGGTTGAGAAGGAGAGTCCTCCATGGGCACGTCAGCCAGACTGGGAATCGAGTTGGAGTCACACTGCATTGCAGACTAGCCATAAGTCAGGCAATATAAAGTCCCAGAAACACTTCTAATAGGGCTGCAAAAACAAAGTAATCTGGGGATATATGTGCACACATTGTTGCAGGTGACAGCGCTGGATGAAAAGATGGTTGAAAAGGCAACTGAGACCCTGAAATTTATAAATAGAGGCATAGAGTACAAAAGCAGGGATAGTATGCTGAACCATTATAAAAACAATATTTCAGCCTTTACCGGACTATTGCTCCTAATTCTGTGCGATGCATTTTAAGGAGGATGTAAAGGCATTGTAGGTGATGCAGAAAACTATGACAAGATTGGTATCAAAGAGGCAAGACTTCAGTTAAATGGATAGATTTGAGAAACTGAAGTTCTTCTCCTCAGAAAACACAGATTTGACAGAGAGGTTCAAAACTGAGGTAACAAGGTGTAGAGCTGGATGAACACAGAAGGCCATTCAATGCATTATTGAAATGCATCAGGAAAAAACTGAGGAACAAATATGTAGAGAAATCTCAGATATATGTAAGAACAATAAGGTTGTATTCATAGGTGATTTTAATTTTCCAAACATTGACTGAGACTACCATATTGTAAAACGTTTGGTTGGTGAACAATTTGTTAAATGTGTTCAAGAAACTTTTCTTTATCAAGATGTGAATGTATCTACTAGAGAATGAGCAAAACTTGACCTTCTCTTGGGTAATAAGACAGAGCAAGTGACTGAAGTGATAGTAGGGGAACACTTTGTGCCTAGTGATCACAGTTCTATTTGTTTTAAAATAGTTATGGGAAAAGGATAAACCTTCCATACAAATTAAAGTATTTAATTGGAGTAAGGCAAATTTTATTGGTATGAGACAAGAGCTTTCAAAAATTGAGTGGAGTAGACTGTTTGCAGGTAAAGGGATGTCTGATAAGTGGGAGGCTTTCAAAAGTGTGATAACGAGAGTTCAGAGACAATATGTTCCTGCTATAATGAAAGATAAGGCTGGTGGGATTATAGAACGATGGATAAGTAAAGATATTGAGGTTCTAGTCAAGAATGAAAAAGAATCATATATTAGATATAGGTGACTCGATTCAAATAAATCTCTTGAACAGTATGAAGAGTGTAGGGGCATTCTTAACAGGGAGATCAGGAAGGCTAAGAGAAGATATGATAGCCTTGGCAAATAAGGTTAAGGATAATGCAAAGAGATTCTACAGAGAGTACATCAAGAGCATGAGAGCAAATAGAGAGACAGTAGGGTCTCTTGAAGATCAAAGAGGTTGTGTTTGTGTTGAACCTCAGGAGATGGGAGAGATATTAAATGAATATTTAGCATCAATTTTTATTGTGGAGAAAGAAATAGAGGTTAGAAAACTCAGGGATATAAACATTGATGTGTTGAAAACAGTTCATGTTGCAAAAGAGGAAGTGCTAGAGGTCTTAGAAAATATAAAGTGGATAAATCTCTGGGACCTGATCTAGTGTATCCCAGGACATTGTGGAAAGTTAGAGATGAAATTGTGGGTCCTCTTGCGGAAATATTGTATCATCTGTAACTATGGATGAGGTGTTGAATGACTGGAAAGTGGCTAATGCTGTGCCTTTGTTTAAGAATGAATGTAAGGAGAAGCCTGGGAGCTATAGACCTGTGAGTCTAACTTCGATGGTGGGTAAGTTGTTGGAAGTGATTCTGAAAGATAGGATTTATAGGCATTTGGAGAGGCAAGGAATGATTAGGGATAGTTAGCATGGTTTTGTGTGAAGGAAATTGTGTGTCACAAGCTTGATTGAGTTTTTTGAGGAAGTAACCAAGAAGATTGATGAGGGCAGAGTGTTAGACATCATTTACTTGGATTTTAGTAAAGCCTTTGACAAGGTTCTGCATGGCAAACTAATTAGTAAAGTTAGATCCCATGGGATTCAGGGTGAGCTTGCCAATTGGATACTAAATTGGCTCAACAGCACAAGACAGAGAGTGATAGTAAAGGGTTTTTTTTGGGCTGGAGGCCTGTGACCAGCAGTGTTCGACAGGGATTGGTGCTGAGTCCACTTTTGTTTGTCACTTATGTAAATGTTTTAGATGAGAATGTAGAAGGTATGGTTAATAAGTTTGTGGATGACACCAAAATTGGTGGTACAGTAGATAGTGAAGAAGGTTATCTATGATTACAAGGAGATCTTGATCAATTGGGTCAATGGACTGAAGAATGGCAGATGGAGTTTAATTTGGATAAATGCAAAGTATTGCATTTTGGTAAAACAGACAAGGGCAGGACTTATACAATTAAAAGTAGGGCTTTGGGTAGTGTTGTAAAACAGAGACCTAGGGGTTCAGATACATAATTCTTTGAAGTTTATGTCACATATAGAAAGGGTAGTTAAGAAGGCATTTTGCATGCTTGCCGTCATTGCTCAGACATTTGAGTATAGGTGTTGGGATGTTATGTTGAGGTTGCACAGGACGTTGGTGAGGCCTCTTCTGGAGTATTGTACTCAGTTCTGGTCACCCTGTTATAGGAAGGATATAAAGGATTTAAAGTAAAAGATTTTAAAAAGACATGAGGGGCAGTTTTTTTTTACACAAAGAGTGATTAGCGTGTTGAATGAACTTTCAGAGAAAGTGGTGGATGAGTTGGCAGTTGCAACGTTTAAAAGTACATGAGTACATGAATAAGAAATGTTTGAAGGGATATGGGCCAAGCGCAGGCTGGTGGGACTAATTCAGTGTGGGATTATGGTCAGCACAGACAGGTTGGACAGAAGGGTCTGTTTCCGTGCTGTATGACTCTATGACTCTAACACTGTTCTTGAATGACAGACGGGGGTAGAATTGCGACACACACTAGACATTCCAGCAAAATCTTTCATTACTAGATATATTGAAAATTGTCTCGAAATCAATCGTTTTGTCTTTATTTTATTCCTTTGGGATTAATTTGCTTCCAATTCATGATATTTTCTTTGTATATTTAAAACTGTAGCTTTTCAAGGTCGATTTTTATATTAAAATGTTCACTTTTATTGCTGTATTCAAATTAGATGATTACAGATTCTGCTTACTCTGTATAAATCTTATAAATCTTGACTCGATCGACTTCGTCATAGTGAAGTTGATAGTTCAACTTCCAAGAACTATCAGCTTCAATGCTACGGAATTTCCAGTTTGATTATTTTATTTAAATTAATAAGATAGAAAAATCTTATCTGTGTATCTGTCAATAGATATGAATCATTGTTTAGAATATTTAACTCCATTTTGAGATTTTTGAGGATGGAGATTGCTATTGGGCTCGTTAATTGTGTCGAGGATGTTACCGCTTCAAATGTTTCTTACTCTCTCGATGTAAGCAGCCAGCCTATCATTGAGAATAATCATCTCTTTCCTCTCGTTGGTTCGAGTGCTGAGGAATTGTTGATTTGTTGCAGACGCGGCATCCAGATCCAGTGCAGATTCTATCCCCGCTCCCAGGTAGATTCCACACATTCTAAAACAGTGAAGAGGTCAGGACGTGAGCATTCAAACTGTCCCTTGCGAAAAAAGAGATTCCAAAATAAAATCGTTTTTTTTTTAAGTATTAGTGGCTACTGAGGAAATTGTCAAACCCGTCATTCTCGAACGCTTGAGAAAATTGGGCTGAGTGCAGTTTCTGCGTATCTTTACAAGGCATGCACATTTGAAATAAAGGCTGGAGAAAGGTTTGGGACAGACAATTCAACAGGGCTTCGCTCTAATTGTTCTGAGGAAACTCTAAAATGTAACGCTGCAAACTATTTAATAAGAACAATGTAACAGCGGCTACATAAAACGTACGCTCCGCGCCACTGAAAACAAATATCTTCAGATCCTTAACATTAGCTTTTAGCGACGTACAATCAAAGCCCTTTATGTCGATTTTAAATACGTAACATTATCTAAAAAGAGTGGACCGCATTCAGAGCACTATTTTCTTTGGAGACTGGGTATCTGGGCTACACTTGCGCAAATTGGATCTGGTCTATGGAAATACAAGTGGAGTTGGATCACTTCTGTGTTGTATTCACGCAACTGTGTGAACTCATTTAAAAGTAATCTATTATAAACATAGCTTAAAGCTAATATTATTTCAACTGTTAGGTAACTGGTGAAATAATAAAGACACGATCGTTTTCATCAGAATGAAGTATCTGTGCAGCCGCGAAGATATCCGAGTTTTACATTTAGTGTCATACGCGACACCGAGCCCTTTTCCGAAATTTTAATAGGTGAGGCAATGTGACACGGAATCTTAAACATGGGTAATTCGTGCCGATTTGCAAAGGTCCCGTAGTCTGTGAATGTAAACGTAGATTACATTCTGCGTTACTGCTGTTTAGATCTTGCAAATTTAATCTTCTACGGTAAAGAGTGCTCAAATCTCATTACATTCTGAAATACTTAGCGGTGTACGTTGTAATGTCCCAGTTATGGGTGACAATAAAGATTATTAATTCTTCAGTTTTCAGCTTGTCGAGCTGTTAATTCCCTTAACGTTTCCATCATTTTCATTAGACCAATAGCAGTAACGAGTAAAATTCAGAAAAACAATTCAAAAGCAACGTCATCTGACTAGCCCCTTCCTCAGACCCGAAACGTTAACTCTGACTTTTCTTCACAGATGCTGCCAGACCTGCTGAACATTTCCAGCAACTTCTGTTTTTGTGTCTATAATCTGACTAACATTGCGCATAGATGTGTCAGTACTGACGATGGGTTTATGTCACTGGCATTTCTTCACGCCTTATAGATAATTCAAGAGTAGCTGAGACAGGGGAGCAATCTAATTGTAATATAGTTTGAAGCGGACAGTTGCAAAGGATTAGCCTGGTGTGAGATATTTCGAGTACCTGTCAGGTTCTCGATCGATATAGGTTAACACCTCTCATACAAATTCACGCCATTTCTTTCGGAGAGCTTCGAAGGCCTCTCACAGTCTCACAGAATATAGCTATGTCTGTAAGCGAGTACGACAGCACCTTTATTTTTTTTTTGAAAAAACCAATAAACACAGAAGAGAAAGAAGGGCAAAAAGTGAATTGACCCTTCAAAATTATCCTACAAGAGCCTAAGCGAAAACAAAAAAAATCTTTCTGCAACAGGATCAATCAAATATTCATCATGCAATATTATACAATAGTGCCTTGTCGCCTTTCTGTTACTTGTGCATTTCATGCTTTCATCCGCTCTCTTCATTCTCTGCTGAACTATTATTTCGCTGTGTAATCGTGGTTTAATCATCTCGATTTATAACAGAACGAGAACGCGCGATCTCATTTAATATCTATTGGTCTGAATCTTTCACTGAGGCAATATGCGAAAATCCATGAACCTATAGTTGTTGGAATACACTCTATTGCCAGAGTTAATTTGGTTTGAAAAATGGATGAGTGCTGAAAATAATGAAACTTAGTAGAAAATGTGTTCTCAATGCTTTTATTCACGGATCCATCCCTTTCCCGACCGTGCCTACGCCCACATCCGTCACTTCTATGGCCATATTCTCAAATAAGCTGTATCTATTTGTCAGTCAAGTTCGTGCTTAGCTAAACCAACTCGACTGGGGAGACATCACGCTCGGTGAAGTCAGTGCAGTGAATCTTTAGTACTAACAATTAATTATTAGGGGATATATACGTTGCAGGGTGGTATATTTCGGAAATGTCACTGTGAGCTTATTCAATTCTCCTTTCCCTCCCATTGTAAACTAAATAAACAATGGGGTCTTTGGCCGAATTCTCCCCTCTAGGCTGACATCAGCCGAAGCTTTTGGTTGCAATTCATTGCTGTTAAAAGGAAATAGGCTAACAGAGAATTCGGACCTGCAGCAAGCCCTGACAATCCAGTAGCTGCAGTCACAAACAGGCATGTAGTGAATGACGAAAAACCTGTTCTAGAATGTGAAATTGTAGAATGTAGCGCTTATTGAAAGCCTGAACATACTTCGCGCTCCCTTATCTTTCCCTTGTCTTCCCTGAATGTCGCAGTCTACTTAAATTACTACACCTCGATAATATACAGTATTCAAAATGGGTTTAGCTAATTTTAATTCTATCGCAGTGGAAAGAAAGGTAGCATTTACTTTCAAAACGGAGCAAATATTTTTGATGCGTTCATTTAAGAGATCCTTTTTTTTCCCCATTGTCACCATGCAAAAATTCTAATAAGTAAACTGCGCTATCGCATAAATTCTCAGGTCCCAAGCTTTTGATGCTGGAGTCAAGGAATCATTCGGCTCCAGATGTAATGTTAATGGAAGAAGCAGGGAGGAGAAGGAACAAATGTGGTCCAAATCTACATTCCAATTGTATATTTAATGGGAAAACATACCTTAAAAGTCAACAAAGAAACAATAGACCAGACTCCTCACTGAAAGTGTGACGTTAAACCAGGTTGAACTACAACAGAATCTCGACTCTTGATTGTAATGGTTTATTTCATTTAAAACTAATATAGTTGCTTTGAATTGACGTTTGAAACAAATGTGAACCAACCCAAATCATTTTACACTATATCGCCATTCACAGTCAGGCTCAAAGGAATATCATACGAAAAAGTAGTAAATAAAGGTTCACTTACACCAGCATTTTTAAAATTAAATGCGATTACGTACAAGTATTCGCGAAAATAACTCGCTTGCAAATCTCTATAGATACATTGCATGCATTCTTTTCATATCAAGGATTACTTTTTACCTTAAAGTTATATTAGTGATAGAGAAAGACACGAGCAGTCGAAAATAAATGGGGTTTTAAAGGTAGCCAAAGATTAATGTAGGCTTCTTGGGGTCAAATGGTTCTACTGAACTGCATTTTTATAAATAATACATAGGCCACGATAAATTATGATCCCTGCATTAGACTTGAAGTAATGGACAAAACTTTGTGGGTGTTATAAAAGAACATAAACTGTTGGAAAAGCTCAGCAGGTCTGGCAGCATGAGTGGACAGAAATCAGGGTTAATGTTTTAGGTCGAGTACCCTTCCTCAGAAGGGTTTTGTTTCGTATTTGTGGATGTTATATTGCTTTTAATGACAACACATCGGGCACTAGCGGGAAACTACCCCGTTATTTCGGGTTTGCGCCTATTGGTTTGTAATATCATTGAACTAAATGCATACACTAAAACCTTCAGGGGACACATTCGATAAGATCGGTTCCTCAAACGATTTAAGAGATTGAAAGAAACATTCGACTAGAATTGTCAGGGTTTTCGTTGGTAAATGTATCCATATCACCGATCGGGGTCAATGGCTGTATATCATTGATTTATGTATAATAACTAGCAACCAGCTCGCTGCATTTCACTTGTGTGCACTCCTGTCGAGTTGAGAAGACTATATGGAAAGAGCTTTTGTGTATCTGAAAGTAACAGACCCCACCCTTCAATCCTAATAGGATGCAACAGAGAGAAAAAAATCTCTTAATGAAGTGAAAGGTATAAATAACTCAATAAGAAAAAGGCAACAGCGCCGCTAGGATTACTTTTAATTCAGGTTGGAGCTTCCTGAACTCATTCCCAGATTCCACACCCCCCTCCACCCCAGCATATTTATTTGCTATCAGATTTTCGGCGTGACTCAGGCGATCCACCAATTGCTTTCTAATTCGATACCGCAATCATTTTTAAGGGTTCTTAATGATGTCACTTATATTATAACATAGGCCATTCCACTAGAAATATATACATCTGTAATGTTGAGGTATTGTTTCTGATATATTCAAATATTTACTAAGTTATCGTTTTTCAGAAAACCGTGCAACATCAAAGGAACCAGAAGAGGAGACCATTCCGTCCCTGGAGTCTGTCCCGCCTTTTAATCGGATTATGGTTGATCTATAATTCAGCTCCATTTTCCTGCCTTTCCTGCCTTTGTCATTTATAAAAATCTATTGTTCTTAGTCTTATGGGTTTCAGTTGACCTAGCACGCACGTCCATTAATGGGGTGGTGGGTGGGGGGAGACAGAGAGAGAGAGATTCAGATTAGTACTTCCCCCTTGACCTAATTGTGTCCTTTGATTTCACAACAAAATAAAAGGAGCTTTATATTATAGGTTCTTATGTAGGTCTTAATTGTCCACTTAGCAGGAACACTCCCTCTAACGTCAGAAAATTTCTGGGTTCAAATTGCACGCTAGAGATTTGAATAAAAATATCCATGCTACCTGTGGAGTGCAGTACTGTGGAAGTGCTGTATTGTCAGAGATGCTGATTTGTGGAAGAGAAGTTAAACCAATTGTTGTTCCAAAGGTGGTTGGTAAATATCCCTCAACACTATTCTGATGAACATCAGCGTAGTTCGCCCCATTACACTGTCCAATATTTATCACTCAACCAACATCACTAAAACAGAGTATCTGGACATTAGCACGTGGCTGCAATGCACAGATTAGTTGCCACATTTTTCCTCATTACATTAGGGATTACATTACAAAAGCAGTTCCAAAGTGTATTGAGGCATGCTAAGATTATAAAAGGCCATGCAAGTTTCTATTTCCTTGTTTATCCCCCCACCTGCCTTTCTGGATTCAGCCATAAAACTCCCCCAGCATCCCACCCCAACCTCACCCCACCACCACCAGCAACTCTCCCAACCCAAGGGAAAATATTTAGTGTACTTCATGGAATCTCTTGAACATTTTCAAATATTCAATTAGATCAAACCTATAGCCAGTAGGTCTAATGATTTCCACTCTATACGCAATCATTTCCACAGTTATATTAACTATACCTACTCCCCCTCTTTACTTCCAGCAAGCATTCAACAAAATTCTTTGTGTTCTCTTGTCTCTGTCATACCTTTTCTGATGATGCCACTTTCAGTTTGAGTCTTCCAATTTGTTTTCCTTTTCTTCGCAACCAAGGATTCAGCTCTATCATGGTTCACAGAACTTTGACCTTTGTCCATTCCATTCCCCATACTTTTGCTCCACCACCTTCAATGGGATGCCACTAAACACATTGTCCTTTCTCCTCACAGCATTCTGCAGGGTTATGTTCTTTGACGATACTGGTCCACTCCTCTGTGACACCCAACCGCCACCCCCCAAAGAAAATATAACTTCACTTCCTTAAAAACCTTCTCATGGAAGTAAACGGGATGCAGCACCTGCACTTTTCACTGTTCTGGACCCTAAATAATCCTTGAAGGTGAGAAAAGTATTTGTACTTCCAAATTACTTGATATTCTACATTTGCTGCTGATGATGCAGTTACATTGGGGTGATCACCACTGGTAAATTGGGTCATCACTTTGCGGAACATTTCCATTTACCTGACAAGTGTGCCCATAAGCTTCCAGTCATCTGCCATTTTGATCCTCTGTCTCCATACCACTCTGGCTCTTCTATCCTCAACCTCCTACACTATTCCACGTACAGACTTGAGGAACTGCACCTTAAGGCTAGATACTTCACAGCCTTCTGGACTCAACATTGAGTTCAACAATTTCTGCTCCCATTTTCAGATAATGTTTGTAGGCAATGGTGCAGCATTCCTCCATTTCAGGGCCCATCTTTTGTTGGTTTATTTGCCCCATTGTCATCACATTTTGCTTGTATTGTTATTCCTTTTGTTATTAAGTCTCATCTACTTTTCATCTTTCACAGATCTTTCCTTTAGCTTGTGTCACCTTTTCCCTCACTGTACATACTGTGACTTAAAATCCGGTTAGTGCAAACGGTCATCGACCTGAAACCTCATGGATGCTGACTAATGTGCTGAATATCTGGAGAACTGGCTGCTTTTATTCCAGTTAGTATCTACTGTATTTTGCTTTTGCCAATTTCAACGGCAACTGTCTTCTTAGTTTAAGCTTTGCTCCTTAGTTTAGCTCTGGTGGATCTGCACATAATCTCCTTCAAAGCCCGGACTACGTATACTTCCGGAGGTGCAGCACCCAAATCTCAATGTACGCGGCAATGAGCGATCAAATTGTGTCATTTCAAATTGAAGATTCTTTCGCAAGGCTCTACTTTGATGTACTTTCGTTTCATATCAAATCAGTTTATTTAACTCCCCTTCAACGATCCGTTTGTTTTAACCAACTGTTGAAGGAGAAAAGTCAAACCCTATTCTTTACCTGGTCACGCGAGGTTCATATACAGCTGAGTAGGTCCTTCTGCCTGCATGCATGCTTCCACCCCCGACCAGCCGGCCAGTGATACGGCTACAACTGGCCGAGCGAGGTCGCGCTGGCCGGCGAGGTGGAGATGAGCTGGACACCCGCACGTGGTATGAGGCGCTGCTGGTGCTGCTATTCTCAAAGTGGCGGCGGTACGAGGACATCCTTTCCGGACTGCGACTCATGTTGTTGGCTGCCTGGTTGACTGACTGTTGACTGATCTTCCCTTCAGTGAGGTTGATCCTGTGCTACTTCCTCGAGCGGCAGTGGGACATTTTATATACCCTCTGAAATGCCAGATCAGCGTATGCTTTGAGACTATTTGGAATTTTTTTTAACCTAAGTTCAATTTGTAGGCGGGCCATCTCCCTTAATATTTGTCAAAGTCGTGTTAAGCGGCACTAAAGAATGCGCAATCCTAAAATAGAACGTTTAAGCAATTAGTCACCACATTGATGTAATCCTTACGGATGGGACTGAAGCATGGAAAGTGAAGCAAATGTATTTAATTAGCTACAATGAAAAATCGCCTCAATACTTTCCCCCTACTGAAGAATTTGTGTAAAAAAAAGTTCGTTAGTTATTGCGAAAGATGTGTTGTTAATTTATTTTCAAAATTCATAGCATTTCTGCTAGAATTATTTTTGGATTAGACTTTAAGAACATGTCATATCTAAGAATATTTAATGTTAAATAATGTAATCAAATTAATCAGATCTTAGTGGACACTTAATTAGGTTCCAAAATGTATTTGCATTAAATGGATTAGCAAAGGTTTGTTACCTAATTTTGAATGTGCAGGTTAACAGAAACATATATAATATTATTGCTCACTATATTACTAACATGTCCCTATCTAAATATAAGATTTTTAATAACTCAGACTTTTGTTTCATGATAAATAATTTGTTTAGAGATATAAATTATTCCATGATAAACCACTGAACACAGGCTGTACTATAATTGTATGTGATCAGGTTGAAAGGTCACTAAACAGCATCTGTCTGGTGGACAAAACGCTGTTTGGGTGGAAGTTACCATTAATCTTGACTGTGTTTGAAATGCTTTTGTTTGAAATGTGCATTTTTATGTGATTCACTTTGCAAAAGCTTGTGTGATAATAAGAAACTCCTGTAACAATGTAATAGCTAAATTTTCAGCAAATGTTAATCGTCTTTCTAAAAACATTGCAAAATTTTAAAAGCTCAGTCATTACGGATACATTTTCTCGTGCAAATAATATTTCTTGATGTGCTATTCTTGTAGTAACAGTCATTTGATTACTGTGCAGAGTCTTGAGTCAGAGATGTGAAGACTCTTAGGCGGAACAGAAGGCTGAAGGAGACCACTTATGTAGGAAAGGGTGAGATCATGGAAATACTAGGGATGGGCAGCAAATACTGACCCAGCTTGCCACAACCACATCCCATGAATAAATTAAAATAAAACTGAAGGTGAGGGTTTAAAATACAATGCATTGAGAGACACTTGGGAAATCAAGTTGATGAATTAAAACAAAATAGTGAAACATGTATTTCAACAGTGCTAGAGTAAGGTTGCACAGCTGTTTGTGATATTGTGACAGTGGAAATAAACAGTTTTTGGAATGGATACAATGTGAATTTTGAAGCTACATTTTGGATTTGACAGTGCATCAAAGTTTTACCAGTTGACTGGTTAGGCGGAAGGCTAAAATTAGTAGTAAGATATCATTTTATAGTTTCAATCTTCTCCATATGTAATTGTTTTGATTTATACATTATTTGCTGCGGTGGGGACAAGGAGAGATAAACCATTGCATAAAAGTAAGAGATAATACCCTTTATGCTTTTAAACTGAGCTTTTTCAATGTTATAAATGGGACAGAGAGCCAACTGAAGGACCTTAAATGAGGAGGTATGAGGCAGAAAGACATGGATGCAGGGAATGATGAAATGTTTGAGGATTTTAGAGAATGAAAGAGGGAGTAATGGACTAATAGAGAGTAGGCATTTTGAGGAGGGAGAACTGAAGATGGCAGATTTGCAAGAGAGTGAGAGTGATAGTGTTTGATTGAAGGGAATTATTAACAATGTCAACAGGTATGGAGTTTGGAAAAATAACTGACTGCTTATAGGTTGGGTACAGCAGAAATCAAGGGAACAATAAAGTAGTGCTGTCATGGAGGAGATGATCTTGAAGTAGACTACATTAAGGATTGGGGCTAGATTCTGTGAGAAAGTAACTGTTGGCTGTCAGGAGCAAATGGGAAAAGGAAGGAAAAATGGCAAGAAAGATAACTCTGCAAGTCATCTCAATACTGCCGTAAAAGAAATCCAATAACTATTTACACAATGGCTTGAGAAAAGCATTTGGGGACATGGTTAAGTGAGAGATAGTGAGAGCGCTGAGTTACATTAATTGAAAATACAGCAGGGTAGTAAAGGACTTGCCAAAGGAAAAGGAATGACTTTAGCCATAAAATTGAGTAGCATAACATTGCTTCCAGCAATCCTACAAAGACCTACTGAAGCTTCCCTTTTTCTTCCCTGATTCTCTGCACCTGTGTACTCGCAAAGAGTTTGAACAGGCAATATTGTTAAATCAGCCTGATGGGTTAAGACACGCAGCATCATCTTTATTCAATCCTTAAACAAGAAGCATTATGAAGTGAAGTGGCCCTGTTCTCTGAGCATGCAGTTAATGTGCAATCACACAAAAAGGTTCATCTTGCTCATTGCCCGACAACACTTATATTAAGTTTATCCTTTGCCAGCCTACAAAACCAACTAGCTTAGGGCCAACATATATAAAAACACATGAACATATGAGTTTGGAGCAGGATTAGAGCATTTGGCCCCTTGGGTCGGTTCCACAATTGAACTTCTGACAGATGCAGGCTGCTATCAGGGGTTGCCTTTCAACAATTCACCGCACAAAGTTAGAGGGCCATCATTGACACACATGGAGTGACCTGCAACACTGTGAAGCAAATCATTGATTTCTTCAAGGAAAATTTTCACTGCCTTGATCACTTAACCAAGTATCTTCCTTGAAAAATTAAGAAGCAAAGTGTACAGATGTCATTTCAATAAATTTTCATTTTACAATATTCATTAATGTTACTCATGCAAAAAGATTGATTCCTCTTGACTTGTAAGAAAGTGGCCCCATACTTTCACATTTTCCTGAAAGACTTTGTCCTGCGTTGTGGTCCTTATTTGTCTCAGTCACCATGGGGAGTTAATGCTGCTGATTCATGGTGTAGTGATGTTATCCAACAGTAATTTATAACACAGCATATTCCCTAACTGAGGCATATTTTTAAGGAGAGAAAAAAAAACTGCTGTCCAATTTCTTCATTAGTTTATAACAGCAAGTAATATCAGCTAAGAGTTTAAGAAATATACTGAAACAACTTCATTACATTTAGCATATTTACTTGGAAATATCTGACTTATTGCTATTACATTTCTTTAATATGGACAAAGTACTTTAATATGCAAAAACAATTGTAGGAATTTGAAAGTTTAACAAAAGTGCTGAAAACAGAAAACAGATCAGGTACGATCCATGGAAAGGACAGAATCATAAAATCACAGAATGGGTCTAGCACAGAAAGAGGCCATTCAACTCATCACATCTGTGCTGGCCCTTTGAAAAACCAATTCATTTGTCGCCACTCTTCCGCCTTTGCCTGTCACCCGGCAAACCTTTCCTTTTCAGGTAATGCTCCAATTCCTTTTTGTAAGAACCATGACATTTTATTTTTGTGAATTTAAATCTGTAAACTGCAAGGAAAAAGAACTGTTTTTAATAACAAGGATTTACCAGGATGGCTGAATTTCTTCACAGCATTGAATTCAATATCTATTGTGAAGTCTGCAGGCCTCCCTACATCAGTGAGACCAAGTGGAGGCTCGGAGAACACTTTGTAGAACACCTGCGCTCTGTTCGTGAGAAACGACCACATCTTCCAGTGGCGAACCATTTCAACTCCCCTTCCCACTCCCTGGGCGACATGTCCATCCTGGGCCTCCTCTAGTGCCACAGTGTCGCCACCCAGAAACTGGAGGAGCAGCACCTCATATTCAGCCTTGGGAGCCTACTACCCAGTGGTCTCTATGTGGACTTTACCAGTTTCAAAATCTCCCCACCCCTGGCCTCATCCCATGACTAGCCCTCCCTCTCATCCCCGCCTCCTTGACCTGACACAACCTGACACAACCTGTCCATCTTGTGTCCCACCTATCCGCTCCTCCCACCTCACTGACCAACCCCTACCTGCACTCACCTATCACCATCCCACCTACCTTCCCCAGCCCTACCCCTCCTCTCTCTATTTACTTAAGAGCTCCCTTCTCCCTCCCAATTACTGAAGAAGGGTCCTGACCCAAAACGTCAACTTTCCTGCTCCTCCGATGCTGCCTGGCCTGCTGTGCTTCTCCAGCTCCACACTGTGTTGTCTCTGACTCCAGCATCGGCAGTTCTTACTATCTCTATTGTGAAGACTGCTTTTTTTTGTGGCCAGGGGTTCCTGCAGTACAGTATGCAGATGATCATGAGCTGAGGAGCTGCGTACAAGTAAAGCTGATTGACTTTCAGCTAACTGAGCAGGTTGAAACTGGAAACGAGTTACAAAGGCACAGAGAGAAAGAATGACACAGAAGGGAGTGCTGTTGTTCTTCCCAGCAGAAGCTGCCTGTTTGCTGCAGTAAAAGAAAAGTTACCTTTCCTGCAGCAGTTGCTGTGAACTGTGACTTTTACATTGATATATCAGAGACATTTTCCAAGTGAATCAGTTACTCTGCACTTCTTACAAACCAAGGATGCCTCCAGAGAAACATAACTGAACACCCTGACTATGCAAAGAGCCTAGCTAGCCAAAGTAAGATCATCTGAACATAGGAAATATAAAGCTAAGATCACTGAACTGACTTTCCAATTTTTTACACCTTTGCCAATAATCTATTTTTCCCTGTTTGTTTGTCTGTCTGTGTACATATGTGCTGCGGGTTGGGGAGGTGGTGTTTGAGTTTATAGTTAGTATTACTGTAGTTAGTATTGTTATAGACCAATGGTTTATATCTCCTTACTTGTAGCTGTAATGTAATTACTTGGAATAAATAATTCTTGTTTAGTACAGAAACCTGATCTGTGCTTTCTATCAGCCTTGATCTGAAAGTCGGGTAAGTTGCAGTACTGT